TGATGGTTAACATTTTTCTTTTTTACCAATGAAGCATTTTTAAATTAAGGTCTGTATATTTATCGGACACAATGCTGTTCACACTGAATAGACTACAGGATAGTGTAAATACATCTTTTATATGCACTGAGTAACCAAAAATTCATGTTACTTGTTTTATTGATATTTAATTTATTGTAGTGGTTTATAACTGCACCAGCATCTCTTCAAAGTATGCCTGTAAATGGAAAGATATCTAGTGTTCATGGACTGAGAGAATGAATATTGTTAAAATATTCATATTACCCAAAGCCATCTGTCAATATAATACAGTCAAGATTACATTAGCCTTTTTAAAAGAAACAGAACAAATTATCCTAAAAATGTGTGTAGGACCACAAGAACTATGAATAGCAAAAGGAGTGTTGAGAGAGAAGACCAAAGCTGGAGGCATCACAATTTCTGATTTTAAATTGCTTTACAAAGCTGTGGTAATCAAACGGTATGGTACTGGCATAAAAATAGACACTTAGACCAACAGAACAGCATAGAGAGAGCCCCAAACAAACCCCCACATGTATGGCCAACTACTATTTGACAAGAGAGCCAAGAATACTCAATGGAGAAAGGATCATCTCTTTAATAAGTAGTATTGAGAAAACTGGATATTCCCATGCTATTAAATATTTTAATGCTATTGGATCTCCATCTTTTACCACTTACAAAATTTAACTCAAATGAACTAATGACTTAAAAATAATACCTGAAATGGTATGTTTCCTAGAAAAAAACATTAGGAGAAAGTTCCTTGACTTTGGGCTTGGCAATGGTGTTTTTGATATGACATCAAAAATGCAACCATCAAAAGCAGAAATAATTAAGTGGGCCTATATCAAATGAAAAAGCCTCTGCACAGTAAAAGGAATAATGAACAAAATGAAAAGGTACCTTATGGAATGGGAGAAAATATTTGTAAATCATATATTTGATAAGAGGTTAGCTACAAAATATGTAAAGCACTTATTCAATTCAATAGCAATGGGCAGAGGATCAGAATGCATTTTTCCAAAGTAGAAAACAAATGGCCAACAGGTACCTGAAAATATGCCCAACATCACTAATAGTCAGGGAAGTGCAAATCAAAACCACAATAAGATATCTATCTCCTCATCCCTATTATATAAGCTGTCATTAAAAAGACAAGATGAGTGTTAATGAGGACACAGAGAAAATGAAACTTTTGTGCCTGATTGGTGAGAATGTAAATTGGTATAGCCACTGTGGAAAATAGTATAGAATTTCTTCAAAAAATTCGAAGTTGAAATACTGTATGATCCAGCAACTTCTGGTTATATAATCAAAAGAAATGAAAACAGGATCTTGAATAGTTATCTGCACTCCTCTGTGCATTGTAGCATTATTTATAGTAGCCAAGATATTGAAATAATCTATATAGTGGAATATTATTCATTCATGAGAGAGAAGGAAATCCTGCCATTTGAGATAACATTGGTGGACCTTAAGGGCATTATGCTAAATGAACTAAGTCAGAGAAAGACAAATAATGTGACCTTGCCTGTATGTGGAATTTAAAAAGCCAAACTCATAAAAACAGGATAGAATGGTGGTTCACAGGAGCTGAGGGGTGTGGGGTAGTGGAACAGGAGATACTGGTCAAAGGGTTTAAACTTCCAGATATAAGATGCTTAAGTTCTCAGGATTTAATATTCAGCATGGTGATTATGGTTAGTAATATTATACACTTGCACGTACAAACAGAGTAGACCTTAAGTGTTCTCACTACAAAAAAGAAATGGTAATTATGGGGAGTGTGGAGGTATTCAATAAGCCTGATGTAGTAATCATTTCACAAATAGAAGTTTATCAAATCAACATGTGGTAAACCTTAAACTTACACAATGTTATTCGTCAGTTACATGTCAATAAAGATGGAGAAAAAGAAATAACGACTCCCAGCCTCAGTGTGTTTCTCCTTCACTTCACCCCAAGGGATGCAAAGTGACTGATGCAGCTGAAGAGTTTGGGAGAAGACACTGGGCACGAGTAGCTCAGTCCCTTCTGTCTTCTCTTTTCAGATCTCCCTGCCTGCAGAGAGGGTGCATTCTGGTCTGCTCTCTCGACCATGCAGTAAATTTAGCAGGGCAGGCTCTGCTTCTGTGGGGGGAGGCCTGTGGTTGTCCAGAGCAGCCTGTGACTAGGCAGGTAAGTTTGATTTTGGGGTGCAGAATTAGGAAGCCCAGTTCATTGTTTACTTGAGTGATGTTAACTGCTTTATCCATAGGAAAGGTAATACTTTGGTCTCCAATTATCAGCCTCCCCTGTCTTCCTTCACCTAGTTACGAACTTGCTCAAGTAATAGTGGCATGTAGCGTACTGAGTGGGTAATATCCCAATATTATGTGTAAATGTTAAGCAATATTTAGTTTGAGAAGGTGGGCAATGGGCGTTTGGGTTTGTGTTAGAAGGCAGAATTCTTACCTATTATATGGACATTAATTGGTGATGTCTAAGTTAAGTAAATTAAGAAATAGGATAGAATGGCAGACTGAATAGGAATGGGTCATAGAATTATTTCTTCGTAAGCACTTTGATCACTATTTGATTTATACCCATGTGCATGTATTACATTGTTTAAAAAATGAGGGTCAACCGGTACCCTGTTCTTTAGAAGTGATTTTGGAAGTGATCCGTCAGCCTGACTGGGAATAGTACAGCATTGGCATTCAGAGACCTCTGTTGACATCGCAGGCTGAGTGAATCGGTAGCGGGCAGTGTTCATGGCTGCGGTGATACAGTTAACTGGAACGCTGATTACCTCAAAATGTACATCTCCACAGGCGTGAGATTTTTCTCTGAAACCCTCGGGATAACAGAAAAAAAAGTGCTGATGGGCAGGTTTGAAAATCATAACCAACAGAATACACTTCTGTCTTTCTTTTTTAAATTAAATTTATTGGGGTGACATTGGTTTATAAGATTAAATAGGTTGTAGATGTACTTACGCATCTCTCTGATGCACGATCTGTAAGTTGCACTGTGTGTCCAACCCCAAAGTCACCTCCTGTCATCACATAGGTGACCCCTTTACCCCTTACTGCCCCACCCTTTCTTCTGGAAACCACCATACTGTTGTCCGTGTCTCAGAGTTTTTGTTCCTATGTTTTTCTTATTTATTTGTTGCTTTCAGTTTTATATCCCATGTGTGAGTGAAATCATATGGTTCTTAACTTTTTCTGGCTGACTTATTTTGCTTAGCATGATACTCTCAAGGTCCATCCATGTTGTTGCAAATGGCAGTATTACATCTTTTCTTAAGGCTGAGTAGTATTCCATTGTATGTATCTACCACATCTTCTTCTGCCTTTTTCTTTTCCCCAAATGTGATGTAAGAGAAGGCAAAAAGATTTACTGTGAACATGACTCTTTGCTTTGGAAATTGGGCATGCTTCAAGTTTGGTGCTGGGTTTAATATCTCTGCTCATTTCTAGGAATAAAACATCCATGTTTAATGAGTTGACTCTGTACGTTCATTTTTGATAAATGTGCATTTGAAGATAGTGTTCTCACTTAGAGCATATAGTGTTTGATAATTACATATTCAGATCTTTTGCGTTCTTATTTATCATTTAGTTTATTTATTTTTTAGTAGCACTGAATATTCTTCTACACTTAATCTCACCTACATCTCTGAGTACTTCTGTAGCATAGATTTCTAGTCGGTTTTTTAAATTAAGAGGCATATACATTTAAAATCTGATAGGCACTGTCCATTTACCTCTCAATACGGTGCTAACAATGTCCATGACACTAATTGTGTGTGAGGCTGTCTTGTTTTCTCCCAGACTCTTGCTAACATTGCTCTGTCTTAGCTTCATGTCGTGCTTAGGAAAGCTCTTTGTGTCCCATTATGATGGAAATATCCTCTGTTTTCATTTTGTATTTTTGTAATTTGGTTGGGCTTTGGTGTTTACTGGCACAGTTTAATTTATTAACGTTTCATTCTATTTCTATGATCTCATTTAATGCTGTTTTTAAGTGTTTTTAAAAAATATTTTCTAGTCTATCTTACTCTCTTCCTAGATTGCACAAATTGTATGTTTATAGTGTGTGTGTGTGTGTGTGTGTGCGTGTGTGTGTGAGTTCAGTTTGACAGTTACTTATCTTTTTTCATTGTACTATTTGTTCTTTTGATAGCAAGAAAAACACATTAACATATTTTCCCCACCAACATCAAGAATAAAAATAGTATCTACTGGTTTCCCCCACGTAAGATGTATCATTGTTACTTTCAAACCCCACATGCTTTTTTTTCCCCCCCATTGGAAAGTGTTGGCTTTAAACTCCAGGTTACTAGGTTTTCATACTGTGTTTACAACATTTATGTACAAGAAGGATAGGGCATGCTTGTCAGTACCTGTACTGACACACTAATGGAACCAAACACCAAACGTTCGGTATAGCCGTGCAGTAGGATAGGTTGAGTCCTTTTTCTTCTGGGTTTCGGTAAAGTCCAGACTCTGCACTTGGAGCAGGCTTTCTGTTTGGTACTACATTTGTATTTAGGGGAGGAGGTAAACATTAAGAGTGAAAAAAAAGTGGAAAAGGAGAATTCTCTTCTTTTTTTGTTGTCCTGGGTAGTTCATCTTTGGCTCCAAATTTATGTCCTGAAATAAAAAATGAGAGATACTGTAGTTTTCTTCATCCAAATATTTCACTTAGGATTTTCACCTCTGTATTTACGTAGAAGGACAGATTGCAGTTTTATCATTATTTTTGCCCTTTTTATTATTTTTCCCTTTTTGATCAGCTATGTGTCAATTAATGAATTTTACTTACTTTGCTACATTTGCAAATATATAATGTGGGAATAACCCTTCCTTAAAAGTCTGAAAGAGTTCCTAACCAATGAAATAATCTATGCCCAGGTGTAGTTTTTTTTTTCCTGGCTAGTTTTATTAATGCGTTCAAGTTTTCTGTACTCATTTCCTCCTTTGTTTCAGATCTGTAGGAACTTCCAGTGTGTGAATGCTTCTGTTCTGAACTATGACTGTGATATTCAGAGGAAGTGTCACGGACATGGGGTAAGTCGTCTGCTCTTCTGGTTTGCTCATGGAGGTACGCGGATTGATGAGGAACCCCAGTGTCATGCGAGGCTTCCTAAGAGTTTGGGATTTCTTTGACCTTGGGGAATTGAGATGCCTGATACAAGTTTATCCTTAGAGTGTCTGTGGATTTGCATGAATTTAGTTCTTTCTCTTGGTTTCCATTCTAGAGTTCATGATTGAAAGCAGCTATCATAATTAATAAAAGTGGTGTTTTGGTTGTTTTGAAGGTGTGTAATAGCAATAAGAATTGTCACTGTGAAAATGGCTGGGCTCCCCCGACCTGTGAGACGGAAGGATATGGAGGAAGTGTGGACAGTGGACCTACGTACAATGGCAAGTATTACAGAGGAAAATCAGTGTGATGTCCCAGGAGCTGTGTCAGAAATCGAGCATCCCTGCACTGCTCCCACACTTCTCACATCACTTATACATTAGATTATGTTGGTTCTGCTGCCTGAATTTCTCACAAGTGTTTCCATTTTTTCCATCCCTGTGAATTACCTTCAGTTTCTTGCCTGGATTTACGTGGTAGCCTCTTAATTAGGCTCCCTCTTCCCATCTTGCTTCCTCATCCACATTCCATACTACATTACAGAATTGTAGTGTTTTTCCTTCAGGAATTCGGTTTTGATTATGCCAGTATCTTGTTTTAAATTCAGTGCTTCTGCATTGTTATTAGAGTGCAGTCCAAAAATCCTGGACGCGGCTTAAATGCCCTGCATGGTTTGCCCCATGCTTAACTTTCCCAACTAACTCATTTCACTATGCTTAAGACATTGTAACTTCTTTTACTTCTTCTAATAGGCCACCCTCTATTACCTCTGGGCTTTCACACCATATTATATTTACATTGTTGGAACTTGGCTAATTGCTACCCAGATTTCAATTTATACCTAATTTCCCCTAGGAAGTTTTCCCTGATTGCCTAAATCTGAATTAATGTGCCCTTTCTATTCTCCTGTTACTGTAAGCACTTTCACATACTATAGTAATTACTTATACACCACTTATTCCTATTCCCTGCTTGTCTTGAATAAGCTCCTTGATACCAGTACCTTTCTATTGAGAAGATACACTTTCTTTCTCTAGGGTAGGTAGTAGGTGGGGTGGCTGGCTAATAGAGTAGCTTTATTTTTAGCATTTTAAGAAATTGCCAAACTGTTTCCCAAAGTGGCAGTACCAATTAACATTCTCTCCAGCTGTATACGAGGGTTCCAGTTTCTCCTCTTCAACACTCCATATGTCAGTCTTTTTAATTTTAGCCATTCTAATAGGTATGTAGTGGCATTTCATTCTGACTTTAATTTGTATTTCTCTAATTGCTGATGATGTCGAGCATCTTCTCATGTGCTCATTTGTCATCCACATGTCTTCTTTGGTGGTGGGTCTGTTCAAGTTGTTTGTCTAGTTTTTAGTTAAATTGTTTGTCTTCTTGAGTTTTGAGACTTCTTTATTCTGCATACAAGTCCTTTATGAAAAATGCTTTGTAAATATTTTCTCCTGGTCTGTTGACTTCATCTTTCATTTGTTCTTTTTCTAGTTTCTTAGGACAGAAGACTAAGAAGGTCATTGATTTGAGACATTTTTTTCTTTTCTTTTTTAAAATATGTTTTATTGATTATGCCATTACAGTTGTTCTATTTCCTCCTTCATTCCCCTCCCCCTGCACACCCCTCCCCCCTTTCCCCCCTCTAGTTTCTGTCCATGTGTCACAAGTTCTTTAGATTCTATATTTCCCATACTATTCTTGCCCTCCCCCTGTCTATCTTCTGCCTACTGTCTATGCTACTTATTCTCTGTACCTTCTCCCCGCTTCTCCTCCTCCCACTCCCCTGTTGTTAACCTTCCATGTGATCTCCATTTCTATGGTTCTGCTCATGATCTAGCTGTCCACTTAGTTTGCTTTTGTTTTAGGTGTAGTTGTTAATAACTGTGAGTATGCTGTCCTTTCACTGTTCATATTTTTTATTTCCTTTTTCTTAGATAAGTCCCTTTAGCATTTCATATAATAAGGGCTTGGTGATGATGAACTTCTTGAACTTGACCTTATCTGAGAAGCACTTTATCTGCCCTTCCATTCTAAATGAAAGCTTTGCTGGATAGATCAATCTTGGGTGTAGGTCTTTGGATTTCATGACTTGGAATACTTCTTTCTAGCCCCTTCTTGCCTGTAAGGTCTCTTTTGAGAAATCAGCTGACAGTCTGATGGGAACTCCTTTGTAGATGACTGTCCCCTTATCTCTTGCCACTTCTAGGATTCTCTCCTTCATTTTAATCTTGGCTAATGTAATGATGATGTGCCTTGGTGTGTTCCTCCTTCTTTGGGACTCTCTGAGCTGCCTGGACTTCCTGGAAGTCATTTCCTTTGCCAGATTGGGGAAGTTCTCCTTTATTATTTGTTCAAATAAGTTTTCCACTTATTGCTGTTCCTCTTCCCCTTCTGGTACCCCTATAATTCAGATGTTGGGATGTTTAGATATGTCTTGAAGGTTCCTAAGCCTCTCCTCATTTTTTTGAATTCTTGTTTCTTCATTCTTTTCTGTTTGGTCATTTTTTCTTCCTTCTGGTCCACTCCATTAATTTGAGTCCCAGTTTCCTTCCCATCACTATTGTTTCCCTGTGCATTTTGCTTCATTTCATTTAGCGAAGCCTTTATTTTTTCCTGTAATTTGTGACTAAAATCAACTAGTTCTGTGAGCATCCTGATCATCAGTATTTTGGACTGTGCATCTGATAGGTTGGCTATCTCTTGGTTGCTTAGAAGTGTTGGCTCTGGGGCTTTGAGCTGTTCTTCTTCTTGAGCCATAATGTTTTGGTCTGTTTGTGCTTGTTACCTATGAGGGGCGGAGCCTTAGGTGTTGCCAGTGCCAGTTAACCCAGTTGCTGGGTTGTGACACTGTATGTGGGAGTGGGGTCAGAGAGGGGCAATGGAGTTTTTTTCTGCTCTCTCTCTGATTTCAGTCCCCTCTCCTGCTTCTCACAAGCAAATTGGGCCCTTCTGGTGCTAGTTCCCAGATGTGTGGGCTTGTGCGTCTGTAGGTCTCTCCAATGAACTCAATATGAGTCTGGGAGCCTCTCCCAGCACCTCGACCTCTGAAAGTTTTCCAATTGGTGCTTTTAGGCTTTATTTCCTGGCACCGGGGCCCTGGTTTGCACGGTCTGTCTCACTGCTTGCTCCTTTGCCTGGTTTATCTGCGTGTGAATGTGTTACCGCGGTCAGCCAGCCCCCTTGCATCCTCACTGGGTCTGCCCCTTGCCACCCAGTGCCTGGGATCTGTCAACTTCCACCTGCGTTCCTGGGTCAGTCTGGCCAGCCACTTTTTCCTGCTGGGACCCCTCTCCACCAGCCACTGACTCTGCCCCTCTTACCGATCTGGATGAATGGTTCATCGTTGTTGGACTTTGGTACAGTTTAATTTTCTCTCATTCTGGTTTTTAAATATTTGTTGTTCATAAACTGGTTGTACGAGGAAGTATGGTGTTTCCACCTACGCCTCCATCTTGGCCAGAAGTCGTCTTTTCTTAATATAGACATTGTAGTACTGTGAGTTTTCCTGCAGGGATTGCTGTTTCTTCACCCCACAAATTTTGATACATTGTGCTTTCATTTTCATTCAGCTCAGAATGACTTTTAATATATTTATTATTTCTTTGACCCATGAGTTATTTCAAAGTGTTACTTTGTTTTATAGTATATGGAAGATTTTCTAGCAATTTTAGTGTTACTGATTTTTCATTTATTCCACTGTATTTAGAGAATATTGTATGATTTGAATTGTTTTGTATTTTTGGCACTTGTTTTATGCCCCAGAAGGTGATTTATCTTCGTAATAAGTTTTGTATATACTTGAATTTGTATCCTGCTGTGGTTATGTGGAATATTTAATAAATAGTTCATATTAGTTGACAGATGTTTAAGACTTCTGTATCCTTACCGATTCCTGTATACTTGTTATGTCAATTATTGAGAAAGGAATATTGAAATCCTTGGCTATAACTGCTAATCTGCCTGTTTTTTCCTGTCAATTTTATTAGTTTTTGCTTTATGTATTGCAGAACTCTGTTATTAGGTGCATAAACATTTAGGATTGTTCTGTCCTTTTGACTTATTGACCCTTGTAATTATAAAATATCTCTCTTTATACCTGGTAATATTCTGTTCTGCAATTAGGTATTAATATAGTGACTCCAGATTTCTTTTGATTAGTCAGCATGGGGAATTCTCATCATTCTCCTTTTAATCTATTTGTGTCTTTATATCTTAATTCTTTTTTTAATCCTTGCCCAAGGATATGTTTATTGATTTTAGAGAGAGAGGGAAGGAGAGAGGGAGAAAGAGAAAGAGAGAGAGAAAGAGAGGAACATTAATGTGAGAGAGAAACACACTGATGGGGAACCTGCAACCTAGGTATGTGCCCTGATCAGGGATCAAACCCGCACCCTTTTGGTGCACAGGACGATGCTCCAACCAACTGAGCCATCTGGCCAGGGCCTGTGTATTTACATTTAAAGCAGGTTTCTTATAGGCAGCATGTAGTTGAGTCTTGCTTTTTTATCTACTCTGCCAGTCTCTGCTGTTTGATTGAGTTGATCTGTATATTTAATTTGATTATGATATGTTTGGGTTTAAATCTAGCATGTTAATACTTTTCTGTCTTCAGTTTGTATTATTTCATTATGCTTCCATGTATCTGCCTTTAGTGCTATTGATGACATACTTCTACATAGGTTATGAGCCCCTACACACACACTATTACTATTTTGACTTTAAGCAGTTGATTATTTTTCAAAGATTTAAATAATAGAAAAAGTCTATACCCACATAGCTACCATTTCTAGTGCTCTTCATTTTTTAAGTCAGATTTTTATTAGGTATCATTTAATTTCTGCTCGTATTACTTCTTTTCCCATTTCTTATAATGCAGATCTACCAGTGACAAATACTTTTAGCTTTTGTATATTAAAATTTTTTTTTTGCCTTGAATTTTTTTTTACTGGGTAAAAAATTCTAGGGTGAAGTTTTAGCCCCATTTTACCTCTTCAAAGATGTCCCTACCTTGTCTTCTGGCTTACGTGTCTTTCCTGAGGAATCTGCCATCTTTATTTTTTTTTTTGGTCTTCTGTGGGTAAGGTGTGTTTTTACCCTCTAGTCACTTGTAAGATTTTCTCTTCATCTCTGATTTTTAATATTTGACAATAATGTGCCTTAGCACGCTTGGGATTTGTGAGACTTTTTTCAATTTGTGCTTTTATAGTTTCTTTAAATTTGGAAAATTTTGCCCATTTTGTCTTTAAAAATTTATTTTTCTTGTTTTGTAATGTTTTATACATTTAAAACACAATAATTAACTACTTTATTGAATTATGTTTGGGGGGAAAGGCAGAAAACTGTACTTGAACAACAATAAAATTCAAAAGTAAAAAAAAATCAATTAGAAACATGGAAAAAAGAATTATGTGCACATATATGTCACATGTAGCACATCCAGACATTTATTGACTTCAGTAAGGAAATTGTTCTTGACTGACCTTTCTAAGTCTCAGAATCTTTTTTTTTTCAGTTACAGTTTACATTCAGTATTATTCTGTATTAGTTTCAGATGTACAGCATAGTGGTTACAAAATCATGTATTTTACAGAGTGGTTCCCTAGTGTTCAAGTACCCACCTGGCCCCATACATGGTTATGATATTATTGACTGTATTCCCTATTCTGTAATGTACATCCTGTGACTATTCTGTAGCTACCAATTTTTACTTCTTAATCCCTTCGCCTTTTTCACCCAGCTCCCAACCCCCTCCCCTCTGACAACTTGGTTTATTATCTGTATCTATGAGTCTGTTTTTATTTTGTTTTTCAAATTCCATATATAAATGAAATCATGTGTTATTTTTCTTTCTCTGACTGGCTTATTTCACTTAGCATCATACCCTGTAGGTCCATCCATGTTGTCACAGAATTGCCTTCTTTTTTATGGCCAGGTAGTAATCTGTTGTGTATATGTAATATAGCTTTTTTGTCCACTCATTTATTGGTGGGCACCTGGGTTGCTTCCATATCTTTGCTGTTGTAAACAGTGTTGCAATGAATATTTGGTACATATGTTCTTTTGAATTAGTGTTTCAGGTCTCTTCAGATATATTTGCAGAAGTGCAATCACTGGGTCATAAGGCAGTTCCATTTTTTATTTTTTTGAGGATCCCCCCACACAGTTTTCCATTGTGGTTGCACTGGTCTGCCTTCCCACCAACAGTGTACAAGGGTTCCCATTTCTCCATATCCTCGCCGACGCTTGTTGTTTGTTGATTTATGGGTGACAGCCATTCTGGCAGGTGTGGTATGGTATCTCACTGTGGTATTGATTTGCATTTCTTTGATGATTAGTGATATTGAGCAACTTTTTTTTGTTTTTCTCTTTTCTCTCTTTCAGGGACACCCAGTACATGTCTCTTTCATAACTTGAAGTTTTTTCACATCTCATTTATTTGCCTTGATTATTTTGTTGTTTATTCACTGGGTTTAATTATGAATAGTTTGTATCATTATTTTTTGAGTTCATTCTTCTATATATCTACTCTTTCATTAATTTTATCTACTGTAACTTTCATCTTAGACATTATATTTTTTATCTCTGTAAGTTCTATTTGTTTCTCTTTTTTTGGTATAGTTTATGTCTCTGCATTGCATGTTCAATCTTTAACATCTTGAATGTGGACTACGGTCATAATAACTTCTAATATCCTTGTCAGCTATCATCTCTGTCTTCTCCATCAGTTTTGACTGATTTTTCCTTTCATTTTGGATCATATTTTCCTGCCTTTTGCATGCCTTGTAATTTTTTTTACTAGATGCCAGAGATTGTGAATTTTGCCTTGTTGGATACTAGATATTTTTGAATTTACATTGATGAGCTTTGTTCTAGGGTGCTTATGTTACTTGAACATAGTTTATAGTTTGATGCTTTTGAGTGTTGCATTTAAACTCTGTGGGAGAGGACCAGAGTGTCATTTATCCTAGGGCTAATTTGCCCCATTACTGAGGCAAAACCCCTTCTGTTTATTCTCCTCAGTGCCATGGTAATTATGCAGTTTTCCACCGGCAGTGGTAGGAACGGGCATTTTTCCCAGTCCTGTGTGAGTTGTGGGATTCGTTCTAATTCCTACAGGTCATTCTTTCTGTGGCTTCAAGTGGCTTCCTTACGTGCATACATAAATCAGTTCTCACCTTATATGTGTGAGGAGCCCTCTGCACAGCTCTCAAGTTCTGTCTGCAGCTCTCTCCTTCCGGTTGTCTGTCCAGTGAACTCTAGCTGCCTTGGGCACAGCCAGCTCCCTCTCCTCCATTTGAAGAGTCCACTGAGCTTTGCTTGGGCTGTCTCACTCTTCATCATGATCTGTTAACTTTCACTGGGCAGCAAACTGGGACAGTTGTAAAGCTCACCTTATCTTTTTTTTTGTCTCGGGTATCACTGTACTTTATTGCCTGATGTCCAACATTTTGAAAAGTTGGACATTATATATTTTACTGGGTTTGCTGGTTGTTATAGCTGGCAGGATAGATTTGGTCCCTATTATCCCACCTTGGCTAGAAGTGGAAGTCAGAAATAATGGCTGTGTATCATTCCATCGAGTAGATGTGCTGTAACTTGGCTTCGCAGTTTTGTAATTATTTGACATTTAGGTTGTTTCTAATTTTTGGTATGCACTGATAACATTGTAATGTATATCTTAATACTTAACACATTTCTCCAGTTGGAGGATAAATTGCTAGAAATGAGATGACTAGGTTGGAGGGTATAATCCTTTCTATGGTTCTTCATAAAAATTCTATGACAGACCCACTGTCAGCATTAAACTCAATGGGCAGTGACTATAAGCATTCTCCTTAAGACCTGGAACAAGACAGGATGTCTACTTGCACCTCTCTTATTCAATGTAGTGCTGGAATGCTTAGCCATAAGTCAGATAAGACGAAGAAATAAAAGGCATCCAACTTGGAAAGGAAGAAAAAAATTAGAAGTGGAACTTCGTTTTAACCCTGTGGTTCCAGTTCTGGGAATATATTTGAAGAAATCCAAAACACTAACTTAAAAGAACACAAGCACCTGTATGTTCTTTGCAGTGTTATTTACAATAGTGGAGAAGTGAAAGAAGCCCAAGGGTCCATCAGTAGATGAGTGGCTTAAACAACTATGGGACATTTATACAATAGAATAATACTAGGCTGTAAAAAAAGAATAAAATTTTGTCCTTTGCAACAGCATGGATGGACCTGGTGAATATTATGCTAAGTGAAATAAGCCAGTGAGGTAAAGGCAAATGCCGTATGATTTCACTCGTATGTGGAATCCAGTGAACAAACTGTACTATGAAAAGGTAGAGAGAGACTCAGATAGAGGGCAAGCTGAGAGCTCTGGGGGAGGTTAGAGGGTGGATGGATTAAGAAAAAGAAAAAGGCCTCATGGACATGGACAGCAGTGTGGTGAATGCAGGAGGGAGGGTGGACGTGGGTAAGTGATCATGGAAAAAATACAGTAGAAAAACCTAACGTAGAAAAAATTCTAAATGAATTTGTGTAATGCTGCTGACTGTATGAAGGTACCAGTTTTTTCAACATAACCTACCAGTGTTGTATGCTTTAATCAAAATGTTGTCTATTCATTAGTAGGTATAAAATGATATATCAAGCTTTATTTATTTATTTTATTTTTGCTGTCTTTAATTTTTAAATATTTTTAATTGGGTTGGTTGTTGTTTCATACAGTGTCATACAACTTTTAATATAAATTTCTGGTTCTATTACAGGGTTATTCATTGTAGCACTTTTAAAGCATTTTTAAATAACAAAAGATTACAAGAATGAAAGTATCAGTTGGGTACTGTTTGGGTAAACTATAGGACGTCCTTGCAGTACTGTTTTGTGTGGCCGTACAGAAAATGAGGTGGTCCTTTATGATTTGGAAAGATACAGAGATAAGTGAAGTGCTGAGTAGTGTTTATGGTATGCTACCTTTTATGTAAGATAGGGTTGACAACAGAAAATAGTTTTTTCTTATATTTATTTGTATGAAGAAATACTGTAAGATAATATGAGACATTAATAAAAGTAGTTATTTTGGGGAAGGCAAAAAAAGTGGGCAGCGATTGGGTGTGAACAGACTTTTCAATGTATTCAATTTTTATCAGTTTGAGTTTCAAATGATGTGGAAATTGGTGTAAAATAGTTGTAATCACCTACTATGTTCTAGTTAGTATGAGTTAAGTTCTGACTTACTGATCACTAATAGAACTTTTTTCTCTCTAGCCAATACTGCATTGAGGGACGGACTTCTAGTATTCTTCTTCTTAGTTGTTCCTCTTCTCGTATTTGCTGCCTTCCTCTTCATCAAGAGAAGTCAACTACGGCAGCGCTGCTTCAGAAAGAAGAGGTCACAAACATATGAGTACGTACATTTTGTCTTGTGATTCATATAACATAATTTAAGTAATTACAGTGATGGCAGTCAGATCATAGAGGCTGGTTTAAAAATAGGGTTCTAAACATCTATTTTTTGACATGATTAGCAGGGGTGAAAAGAAATAGTGAGGACTCAGCCACCTCTTAAAATGGGGAGGGGGATAGGGTTATGGTAACCAGTCTGTATGCTGCTGAAAAATGACCGTTGGAGTTCATTTTGCTTGACACTGATTTCTGATAGGGGGTAAGTAGGAATTTGGGCTACAGTTTTTTATTTGGACTTCTTAATCAGAGATTAAAATACAGGATACCAATTTAAAAATGTAAATGCTGAAATTTTTCTTTATTGTCTATTTTAGGTATCACTTTTCACAGAGGAAGAACTTTTCTTTCCTTTTTTTTAAAGATTTTATTTATTCAGTTTTAGAGAGAGGGGAAGAGAAGGAGAAAGTGAGGGAGAGATACATCAGTGTGTGGTTGTCTCTTGAGCACCCCATGCTGGGGACCTGGCCCGCAACCCAGACATGTGCCCTGACTGGGAATTGAACCAGCCACCCTTTGATTTTCAGCCTGTGCTCAGTCTACTGAGCTATACCAGTCAGGGCAGAGCTTTTCAAATCATCGTTTTGGAAACAGATTTTGTGAATTATAAGATTTTATGAAATAAGTTTTGGTGGAAGAAAGCATTGCCATAATTCAGACATATCTAGTCTGTGTGTTGGACTCTTGTATGACTATCTCTCAACTATCACTTACATGTTTGCATTAGAATGTAGCATAGATTAGCATAGACCTTGTAATCAGATCTAAATTTAAGTTCCAGTTTGTCATTTAATATTTAATATAATTATGAACTGAAACTCTTTAAGCCTTGATTTACTTTTACTAAAATAAGAATAATAATACTACCTAGCTCTTAATAGGAGGATTAAAGGGAAAATATTTTTTTCAAATAAAAGAAATGAAAAATAAAACCCATGGCAGATTGGCTGGCACAGTGTAATTACTTAATAATTAATTTTTGTTATGCTAATGATTTTAAAATGTTAGGTTGGCCAAAAAGTTTGTTTAGTTATTGCCCATAAAATAAAAGACATGGTTTTCATTTTCACCAATAACTTTGTTGATTTGGATATTTTTGGGTATGTTGGCTGTCTCCCGTATGGTAGAACATTGATTGTTCTCAGTTAATGTCTTGATTTGATCACTATCAGCTTCAACTGACCTACTTGACTGTGGTACATTGTCCAGCGAGAGCTCTCCAGCATAAAACTTTGCAAACGACTTTTGACACGTTCGTTCCATGAGTCATAGCACCTTCTCCATACACTGCACAAGTATTTTTCTGCGTTTCAGTTGCATTTTTACCTTTCTTGAATAATAAAGCATAACATGCTGAAAATGTTGCATATTTTCTTCCATCTTCAATATTAAAATGGCTACACAAAAATTCACCAGCTTTGATTTTTTTAAGTGCATGCTGATATGACAGCTGTCACAATACAGTCTAACAAAATTGTTTAAAATGAAGTTGAAGACAACTAAGCACTAGTAGAGCCATCGTACGGAAAAAAAAAACAAAAGCAAGTGAACTTTTTGGCTAACCCAACATACATCTCTGTGATGGCTTACCTTTACTTTAGTGCCCAATTTTTCTCACTTCCTGCAGAGCATTTTTCTAGAGTACCCTGATGTTAGCTTTAATTTTTAACATATTCTAAAACACATTTATCTTTCTGTCCTTGCTTTCTCTTACTTTGTTACGCACTCCAGACTGACCAAACCATGTAATTCCCCAATCTGCATCTCCAAAATTTTAGTTCCACAGCTCTAGCTCTCTCCTACACATCTCCCCCTCGCTGACGCGCCCCTGCCGCAGCATGTCTAAACTCAGCTGATACCTTTCCAGGGCTCATTTGCTCCACCTGGACTTCCTAATTTTTAGAGTGACTGCCTCAAGTTTTGCATGTGCAGCTTAAGAGTATGCCTCATTGACCAAATTTTGTAATTTTTTAGAATTTCAGTTTATTCCATTGTGTAATGGGGTTAATAAAATTTTCTAATACTCTAAGGATTAAAAATGCGTGAAAGCTTAAAAATGCTGGGAAAAATTTAGGTAGCATCATGGTCATCATTATTACCACTGCCAACATCATTATTCTGTTTTGGGGAAAATGCAAGGTATGTGTAATATGTCATGTAGAAGTGTTTTCATCTCAGTGCAGCTCAAAAGTCATTTTGTCTTTCAGGTCAGATAGCAAAAATCAAGGAAAGGTTTCTAGACATCCAGCGAATGCCCCTCGGCATGTTTCTCCAGTGACTCCTCCCAGAGAAGCTGTAAGTTTAAAATGAAAAATTCTATTTCTTTACTATTATTATAGTTTCACATTTTTCAAGATGAAAAAAACAGTTGTCACATAGGTACAGACAGTTGTTGAGAATTTAGGAATGTGGTCTGTAGGTGGCCTCTGGGTTAAAGGTTTACCAACAGGGTCCCTGGCTCAGAGGAGAGGGAAGACATTCAGGTAACAGGAGTGCCTTGCCTCGGAACCAAGACTGGGAAGTGAAGGGGGATTCAAGCTCTCCCTGGTTTTTCCTTGTCTGCTCTTTCTGTTTTCAATGCCTGGCTTCCCTGGGGCATGTTGCCAAAGGCCGGGTGCTGAGCTCCGGAATGCACTTCACTGTCTCGGCAGTGGGAGAACCACCACCGCTCCTCTGCATGTCTTAGGAGGAGGTTTGGCGATAATGACATCCATTTTCTCAGCTGCATATATTCCTAAGAAGTATGTAATGTTACTTTATATATTTATGCAATATTTAAAAAATTATTTATTTTTCAATAAAATAATTCAAATATAAAATAATTTAGATTTTAAATAATATATTCATATAAAATATTTCCAAGTCACATCTTCCTCCATCACCATATTTTTGACCCTTTACCCATTACTGCCCTCCTGCCCCACTTCCCTCTGGTAACCACCGTATTGTCTGTGTTACGAGTTTTTGTTTGCTTTGTTTTCAGATGTAGATCTGAAAACATCTACATCTTTGTCAATACTTGTCAGACTTTTATAAAGTCTTTCCACTTTATGTGTAGTGAAATGATTAGATATCCTTCCTCATGTTTTATATATATTCTATTCCTTTTCCCTAGTAAAAAAGAAACAAAAAATTATTATGCACTTCTTCTTCCTTAATTATATATTTCCAAGATTTTCCATATCACTACATATATAGGATAATCATACAGTCCCTACATACAGAAGTTAGAAATGACATACATGCTCTTCACCGTTGACGTATTTTTATTATGATAAAATACACATGCCGTAAAATTTGCCATTTTAATAAATTTTAAGTGTACAGTTTAGTGACCTTACATTTACAGTGTTGTGCAGTCATCACCGCTATCTTGTTAAAAATCTTTTTCATTACGCAGAACAAAAATTTTGTACCATGAAGCAATAACTCCCATCTCTCCTCCCTTTTAAATTTGAAAATCTACTTTCCCATTTATACAGAAAGGCTACTGGAACTTGATAGGGATTATGTTGAGTCTGTAGATCACTTTGGGTTGAGAGAGTTTGACAATACTGAGTCTTTGAAACCACAAACACTAGTTGTCTTTCTGTTAATTTAGGTCTCATTTAAATTTTTCAGTAATGGGTTGTAATTTTCACTGTTTAAGTTTTTTACCTTCTTGATTAAATTTATTCCTAGGTATTTTATCCTTTTGGCCGCTATTGTAAATGGAATTGCTTTCTTAATTTCCTTCTCAGATTGTTCATTGCTGGTGTTATAGAAACAAAATTGATTTAGGCATGTTTATTATATATTTTGCATCACTGTTGAATTCATTTGTTAACTCTAGTAGCTTTCTTTGGAGTTTTCTATTTATATATAGGATCATATTATCTGTGAATAGAAATGGTCGTACTTCCGTTTGTCCAGTTTCAGTACCACTTATTTACTTAGGTGTTTATTCCAACTGTCCTGGCTAGACCTTCTAGTACTATGTTCCATAGCAGTGGTAATATCGGCATCTTTGTATCATTTCTGATTTTAGGGGGATGCTTTCAGTTTCTTTGGCGCATTTAAAAATTTCTCTATGTTCTTCTAGTGAATCTTTGTTGTTGATGTTTAGAAGTCCTTAAGGCAGTCCTAGAGAACTGTTTTCACATTTTCAGCTGTTGGTAGAGTCCTTATGTACAAAAAAGAGACTGGGAAAAACAATCTCATCTGAAATCTATTTAAAAAATTTATTAATATGGCAATATCAGCTTTTTGGGGGTTTAATATTGACCTTATATCTTTTTGTGTCTCAGCTCTAGATTTTTGTTTTATGTGTACAGTGAGGTCTGTGTAAAACGTTTCATGGGTAAATAGTCCTTTTTTTCTGATAGCTTCTTATCTTTATTTGCATGTATAACTTGGGCCCTTTTGCTCCTCTTTTATGTTTTTATTGTTGCAAATTGCCCTTTTTACAAGTGGGTTTGTACCAAATTGAATTAGCTGTAGTTATTTTAGGTGTTTCCCCTTTTAACTTTTGTGTTATCATATTTATTTATTATTTTTTTTAAAATTATTTTATTGTTCGTTTACAGTTGTCTGCATTTCCCCCATCACTCCCCCCACCCTAGCCCAACCCCCGTCTCTTCCATGTAATAAGTGTTTAATACCCTGTTTTGAAATAGAGTTGCCACTGATTCTGTTTGTCATCTTAAAGTTCGTGTGCTCCTTCCAACATTATCTGTAATGCAGTTCTTGGGGTGGGGAACTCCTGCAGCTTTTGTTTGTCTGGGAAAGCCTCCGATTCTCCTGCGTGGCTGAGGGATAACTTTGCTGGATGATAGAGTACTCTTGGCTGGTAGTTTTTGTATTTCAATATTTTGAATATGTCATTCTCTTTCTCCCGGTCTGTAGAATTTCTGCTGAGAAATCCGATGCTAGCCCAGTGGGGGTTTCTTTGTAGGTTACTGTCTTTTCTCCTTCTGGCTGCCTTTAGAATTTTTGTTTATCATTGACTTTTGACAGTCTTAATATAGTATGTCTCAGAAAAGTTTATTTTTGTATGGAGATAATTGTGTTATGTTAGTTTCTTATATTTTTATGTTGAGTTCAACCCCCAGCTTTTGGAAGTTCTCCTCTAGTATTTCTTTAAACAGGCTCTTTCTTCTTATTAGGTACCCATTATCCTTATGTTGCCCTTCTTAATGGAGATCAATAATTCTGTTTTTTCCATTTAAAAAATCTTAGTTTTCTTTTATTTTCTACCTGAATTATTATTTCTTTTTTTTTAAGAAGAGAAATAATTAACTTTAATTACATATGTGCATATGGCAACTTCATCTTTGTGAGACATTTGAAAACATTCAGTGAAAATGATGTATGACACACTGAGCTAAAGATAAGGTAAAACACCTGAGGCTTCAGAGAGGGGGAAAGTTATTGCAGCATGGTAAGAAAGTCATATATTTAATAATTAGATATTTGCCCTGCTGTATAGATACGTCACAAAAAGTCATTTTTGGCAATAGCCCTTATTATGGGCAAGGCCCTCGATTTAGATTTTTCTGAGTAGTTAAGGGAGGGGCAGAATGTTTTCCTGAGCCCACAGGTCCTTGATTGCCTTCAGCTTAAAATAATTCACATGCCAAAGTACCACATCTTGGGGAAGTTTGTTTTGAAACATGAATTATTATTTCTAATGCATTTCTCATCTCATTAATTGAGTGCTTCAGCCCTAGATTTCTGTTTGGTTGTCTTCTAGAGTTTAAATCTCTTTCGTAAAGTACTTCTTTCGTTCATTAATTTCTGAGCTCATCAAACTACCTTTCTGAATTTTTTTGGTATCTTGCTGAGTTGCTTCATAACAGCTATTTTGAATTCGCTATCATTTAGATCACAATCCTTTGTCACTTTGAGTTTGGTTTCTGGAAAATTGTTCATCTTTTTGTGATAACCATGTTACTGTGGTTGTTCATGGGTTGTACTGTTGTTTGTGACCAGTGAGTATGTACCCCATTCTTGTTAATAGCTCCATACCATTCCATCTTATGGATTTACCGTGGATTCAAAAACAGGTCGTTTCAAATCTTGTTCTCACCACAAATGCAGCATCAGGCATTCTTGTACATAGGTTTTTGCAGACATGTAAAAGTATATGTAAATTCCAAGGAGTGGACTTTATCCCTTTAAAGTGTACCTATAGCTTGTCGGAAGGGGATGGAGACAGTTTTTTTTGCATCATTCCTCTATTTTCACAGTATAAGCAAATCACTTCATGGGGTAAAACCTCCAAAAACATCCCCAGAACAAAATAGATCATCTGTTCCATAGCAGGACCCAGAGAACGTTCAAGCTCATGTTCAACAACACTGTGCATATAGAGCATTTTCTGCCACTGATGGAGCTTTGGTTGAGAGTGGAGAATACCATAGTCAGGAATCTTCATCAGTGATCTAGTAATTTTATCTCATCCTCCCTAAATTTTCCTAATGTAATGTGATTTGTGAAAATTTTTTTTGCTTTTACTTTCTTATTTAAGGCTGTGTTATAGAGTCTCACTTTGTTTCAAAACTTTCAACACCTTGTCAAGGAAGAATATAAGGAATCCCAAAATCCAGGGTTGTAGATTAGTGGTATCTGTAGCACCACTTAGGTACTATATATGTTTGGCAATACAGTTTTGGAAGAGTTTATTTAAAATATATTGACATAGGCAACAAACAACAATTGCTGGAGAGGTTGTGGAGAAAAGGGAACCCTAGTGCACTGTTGGTGGGATTGCAGACTGGTACAGCCACTGTAGAAAACAGTATGGAATTTTCTCAGAAAACTAAAAATGGATCTGCCTTTTGACTCAGCAATTCCACTGCTAGGATTATATCCTAAGAACCCCGAAACACCAATACAAAAGAACCTATGCACCCCAATGTTCCCAGCAGCACAATTTACAATAGCCAAGAGCTGGAAGCAACCTAAGTGCCCATGAGTAAATAAATAGATCAAAAAGCTATGGTACATTTATGGAATTCTATGCAACAGAAAGAAAGAAGGAGCCCCTACCCTTTGCAACAGCATGGATGGAACTGGAAAGCATTATGCTGAATGAAATAAGTCGGGCAGTGAAAGACAAATACCATATGATCTTACCTTTAACAGGAACCTAATCAACAGAGCAAACAAACAAGCAAAATGTAACCAAAGACACTGAAATTGAGAACAGGCTGACAGTGACCAGAGGGGAGAGGGAAGGGAATTTCAGAGGGAAAGGGGAAGAGTTTGCAGGAACAAGTATAAAGGACACACGGACAAAAACAAAGGAGGGTGGAAAGGGGAGGAAGGTGGAGAGGGCTAGGTGAGTGAGCTGCGATGGGAGTAAAAGGCAGAAAACTGTACTTGAACAACAATTAAAGTAAAAATAATAATAAAAAATAAAATAAAATATATTGACATAGGAAATATGTTACCTTTTAACTAAGGTAGTTGGTTATAACTAAGATTATCATACTTTAGTAATATCGACTTTAAAAAATACATAGCCGTAAAATAATTATTTCATATTAAGTGGTAAAGATGTTAAATAAGCAAAAAAATTTTTGATGTTAGCATTATAATTAAGGTATCTAGTCATTGATTTTAAACATATTGGTTACTTTATATGAAAAACAACAAACCGTATAGAAAACATGGTCATGAATGCATTGTGGTAATGACTTTTTTTCTCTTTTAGCCTATATATGCAAACAGATACCCTGTACCAACGTATGCAGCCAAGCAACCTCAGCAGTTCCCGTCAAGGTCTGAAGCGAATTTGCTTAGATTATTTGAGTAGAATAAAATTCAGAGCTAATGTCTAATGTTTTTTCCTTCTATTTTAACTTGCTTTAGGACGTGTATTTATTGCCAACAGATTAGATTAGGGGTGTCAAACTCCTGGTTTGGGCCGAAATAATTTTAGGATGGTATAAATGTAACTACTCCTTAACTGTTAAGGAGTTGAAATTACATTCAGCCCTTTGAAGGCAACCAGGAGGCTGATGGGCCCCCCCCCCCGGCAAAAATGAGTTTGACACCTTTGGATTAGATACGGCACAATTTACAGAAGAGCTTTTAAGAATTTTATGTAAGTTTTGTCATATTCGTACAGTGTCAAATGAAATTTTAAAGAAGCCTCAGCAAGACAGTAAACTGCTGCAGCCGCTGGTGTACATAAGGTTCAGAAAGAAGGGCCTGTGAAGTGCACGGCAGTGGGAAACTGGGTGGGTCGGACTAGGCAGCAGAGAACTACCAGGGAGGTGAGGAATTGTGGGGCCGAGTTCCAGGAGAGGAAGGCAGTCTGGTGATGCTCCCAGCCCGGGGGCCCTCTTTCTGTCGTAGGTGCGTCTGCCCGTTCAGAGTGTGAGCAGTGAGAGATTAGGAAGCCGAGGAGCACTGTCAACAAACTCACAGGGCCGAGGGGACAAAGACTAGAGCCCTGCGAGGAGGAGAAGACACCCCGACAGACATCCCGGGGTTTGCACTGCAACCTCGGGTTACGGGTGAACTAGTCCTCAGTTTATTCCTACAGTTGTTTTTTTAATGTTTGGTCTCCAATTGGGAAAAAAAAAACAGACATAGAAGGAAAAGAAAATGTGACTAAAACCAGGAAAAGCAACTGACCATAGAAACACAGTCAGAGGTCATCCAGTCAACAGAGTTATCAGATAAAGACTTGAAAATAACTGTGGTGATTATCGTATAGAATTAATAGTGAAGATTGAGAATTTCAGCACAGAACTAGAAACTTTTAAGAAAGGGAGCCAAATGAAAGACTCAATAGATGGGCTTAAAATCAGTAAGAAAGAAGAAATTTTTTTTTTACTGTATCACGCAAGATGCATCCCACCCCTTCCATCCCCAAAAGTCTTTTCAAATTACAGCTGAGTTGCACCTCTGAGATGTGTTCTCCTGTATAATCTTTATTATACAATAAGAGTGTGTTCAAATCCAACAGAACATCAAAAGAAGAATATCTAAATTGTGATACACATAACTCACCGGGTAATGCAGTGTGTAACTGGATTAGTGGTATACGAGAACTGATTGAAGTGGTTAAGGAAAGGATATCCACAGGTTAAAGTGTGACGACTGAGAAGGACTGGTAGAGAAGTCATAGCCAGTTTAACTCTGAGAGTTGGATATTATGTTTGAGAGACCTGGAATTTCATCTCCGTGTATATTTGTAAGGTTTATACTTACAGTAATTCACTGCCCTTAAATCCTAACACCACAAGAGGCGCTTAAATGCACAGTCTCCAGAACCTTCACACAACATTATAGATTGTGGAATAGCATTAATGTAATGTCAGTACTCCACTGTAGACTCTCTTTAACCATTGCACATCAGATTAGTAATAATCTCAGAATATAACGTTACACTTAAGAATGGTGAGCGATGTTCAGGATGGTGATATGTTGGGCTTGCAATGAATGTAGCATTGTGCCATTCAGCTGAAACACATGGTTAACTCTGTTTTTTCTTCTCACAGGCCCCCTCCACCGCAACCGAAAGTACCATCTCAGGGAAATTTAATTCCTGCTCGCCCTGCTCCTGCACCCCCTTTATATAATTCCCTCACTTGATTGTTTTCCCTTTCCTCCTGCAGATGTCTTCAGGGAACTGAGATAATACTTTTTTTTTCTTGGTATTTTCTTGAAAATCCTTTCTTCCTGCTGCAACTATGAATGAAAGCAAAACACCGCAAAACAAACTTTTACTGACACAGAAAAGCAGAAAATGGATGGTGGGAATTGAGAAATATGAGAAATTCAACGAAATCAGGGAATTTAGAATAACATTTTCATTTCCATCACTGAATAAGTCTTATTCAGTCATCTGTGAAGTTAATGCACCTAACATGAATTGTTATTTTGAACATGTTACTGTAATGATTCTCAAATTAACTGTATTGGTTTAAGATTTGTTACTGTGTGCTTAAATGTAACTATGAATTTTGACCTTAGTTATCATTAATGTAGTTTCAGGTTGAACATGTGATAATCTAATACCTGTGAAAACTGACTTAACTGCCAATAATATCTAATATTTTTCATCTTGCACAGACTAATCATTATCATGCGCTAGAATCTTGAATAGACATTTGTTCTGTCTTCAGAAGAATGCACAAAACCCACATTTAAGATGTTATAATATTACTTTTTAAGTACAAAATACACTAAAAGTGTATGTGTGTATTCACACACAATTATTATCTTTTATTTTTATGATGTTCTATGGATAAATGATTCTATGGATTAATGATTCTACAGATTCTATGGATAATAGATTCTATGGATCTATCTGTGGATAATGAATATTAGAAAGGTTAATTTAATAATAGAATTCTATTGTGAATCATGTTAAAACATGACATCCTTTTACAATAGCATTATTTTAATAAAGTATAAACTTTAAGGTACGATATATTTAATAGAACTAATCAGATATGCTGTTAATTCATGGCTGTACTAAAGCAGGAGCGATTATATCTTCAGTCAGTGGAGCTGTTACAAAAACCACTTGAGAATTTCATGAGCACTTTAAGTTTAAAATCCGAAACTTCATAGCTTGCTATTAATATAATTTAGAATGTTTACATTGACTAAGGTGTGCTGGAACATGTCGTCTATTGACACTTTTTCAAAGAAATTAGGTTGGAGAGAGAAAGGATGAAAAGATTTTCTTAGATAAGTGCAAAAAAATTACGTGGTGTCTCTGAGGTATCATCCCAACTGTGTTAAAAAAGAATTTTACTATGGAAGCAATGGTATCGATAGTAAAATTTTAAGTACTTAAAAATTTTACATAATCTTTCATAATAAAGTTTAATAATAGGTTTATTAACTGAATTTCATTAGTTTTTTTTCAAAATTTTGGTTTGTGTATATATACATATGCAAATATAACATTTACAATAAATAAAATACTTGAAATTCTGTTTTGTGTTGTCTAGTACTCCCTACTTAGTTATTTATAACATTATGAATTAAAACATTATGCTCTGGCTGGTGTGGCTCAGTGGATTGAGTGCTCCCCTGTGAACCAAAGGGTCGCTGGTTTGATTCCCAGTCAGGGCACGTGCCTGGGTTGTGGGCCAGGTCCCAGTTGGTGGCAGGAGAGAGGCAACCACATGACGTTTCTCTCCCTCATTTTCTCACTCTCCCTCTCTAAAAGTAAATAAAATCTTACAAAGAACATTATACTGGACAAAACTACTATACTACTCAAACTTTTACAGATATTTCACTAATTTTTTAACATATGTCAAACGGTACACAATGGCTTTTTGTTATTAAAGGAAAACATTAGTTTTGAAAAAGATATTTCAGTTCTCTGAAGATGGTACATTGTTTTAACAATCAGATATACATTAAAAGTCATAAATAATTCCAAATGAAGAATCTTCATTTCAGTTTAAATCCCTGAATGAATTCATATAAAACTAAAATATTTGTCTTTCATTGATTTGACTACAATTGTAACTCATATTACTGGAATCTTACAGTTGGTAATATATTAACTATGTAATTTAAAGCTTTTCTCAGAATAAATTCCTTGAATCTTTCAATGTTTAGAAAGTTTTTCTAAATGACTATTTAATCAGTTTAAATCTTTTACTTTCATATATATTTATAAACATATGCTTTTGACTTTGGTTTGCCTTTGATTTATCTTGAATTGCTATTAAAAATTGTTAAATTTTGCCCTGGCTGGTATAGCTCAGTGGATTGAGCATGGGCCTGCGAACCACAGGATCGAGGTTTGATTCCCAGTCGGGGCACATGCCTGGGTTGCAGGCCGGTTCCCTGCAGGCCAGTTCCCAGCACGGGACGCACAAAAGGCAACCATACATTGATGTTTCTCTCCCTCTCTCCTTCCCCCCCTTCCCCTCTAAAGATAAATAAATAATAAAATCTTTAAAAAAATTGTTAAATTTTAGGGTCATAGATCCCACTTCAATCTTTAAAGGGCTTCCTTGCCATCTGCTGACGATGTCTTAATAACCAAGGATAAATTGTATCTAACTTGGGTATAACTATTTGGCTGTATATCCACCTTGTTCAGGGCATTGCGTTTTCCCTTCCTATCAAGCAAATGCCTAGGTCTCTAACAATATAGTAAAGCACAGTGCAGGTTTTCCAAGCGCAAATCAGATTTTATTAAGTTTCAGAAATATTTACTGAAATTCGACCATCTTGCAGGTACTATATTAGACAGTGTGATATATAAGTTTTAGCTGGAATTGCCTCCTGTAATGGAGAGAGCCAGGTACACTAATAAGATTAATATAAGATCTGCTTTATTAAAGATTTATTAAAGGTTGAGGAGAGGGGAAAAGCCAAAGAAATAACTAGAAGTATATTCAAAATTGGCAAGTCTAAGCACTTATTATAATTCTTCTAATGCTATGAAACGAGACCAGATTTTTGCCTCAGCAACTCGGAAAGTGGTGTTAGTGTAGCATCAGCTGCTCCTGTTGAGATACAAACTAGATGTATGTTTGTGTTGCCTTGTCTTAGCTCATGCCATTCTTTTTGGGTTTAGATTGCCCTGTTTAAACCCTATGCATCCATAAAATTGCATGTGAAATGTCGGAGTGAGGGTGATGATTCCCCAAGTGAGCTTTTTTTCGTAACCCCACTCCCTCTGCCCTGCCTTTTCTTTTGTGTGTCTACTTTTCCGTTAGGTAGTATGAGAATTCATTCTTTGGGGTTTGAAAAGAATTAAAAGATAGTGCATATAGGTGGAGACGGGTGAGGCCGAGAGGGGGGAGGCATTGCAGTCTAAGGGAATAAATAATAAGGCAATGTTCATTCAGAAAAGACCAGAGGTCAAGGTGGCCGAAGCACTGGCGGTGGGAGAAAAGAGGTGGCAGCCCGGGTTAGAATGTAGAAAATGTTGAACATCTTTTTGACTAGAATTTTCTATGGGAACATACTGTAATTGGACAAGAAACTTGCCCGTCTCATTCACTACACAAATGAATGTTCATTGTACTGAGAAGTTACTGAACGAGAGGGTCACGAGTGTGAATTTTAGCTAAGGCCCTGGTGGAGAACCAGAGTGATTGGAAGAAACAGTAGATAGAGTCTGGTTAGAAAGTGCATTTGGATAGGTAGGGAAAAACGAGTGAACCATAGCAGGCTGTCTTCCAAAGCATCAGAATCTACTCACGTTCTCCATTCTCAGAATCTAGTTAAGAAACCATCCAGCTAGTTTTTGTTCTTTTAGAAACCTAGCTTTAGTAAATCTATGTATATTTGTGTGTGTGTTCACATATTTTTCTTATTTCCATTTAATTTTTTAAAAATTAAATTTAGGGGACTTCCGCCAAGATGGAGGCATAGGTGGAAGCACTGCACCTTTTCGCACAACTAAGTTTAAAAACAACAAAGTTTTAGCAACAAAAATGCAGCTAAACCACAGAAAATTGAACTACACGGAAGTCTGACAACAACGAACCCTTCAGCCAAACTGGTAAGAGGGGCAGAGCCAGGCAGCAGAGCGGAGTCCCGCAGGAAAGATCCACCAGACCGACCCAGGTGCGCCAGCAGCCATGGGTGGATCCCAGGTGTGGAGAAGCGGGCGGACCCACTGAGGGCGCAAGGCAGTGGACCCACTGAGGGCTGATCACAGTCACACATTCACGCTCAGATAAACCGGTGAAGGAGCTAGCAGTGAGATGGACTGTGCAGGCTCCAGCAGCAGGAAGCAGCAGAGGGAACTGCCATTGTCCCTCTCTTACCCCACCCCCACACACAGCATCACAAACCAGTGACCTGGGTGGCCCCGCCCTGGGAAACAACTAAGGCTCTACCCTTCATACCTAACAGGCACGAACAGGTCAAAACATGGCTCAAGAAGAACTCAGAGCCCCAGAGCTGATAAATCTAAGTGAGGAAGAAATAGCCAAACTTTCAGATGCACAGTTCAAAACACTGGTGATTAGGATGCTCACAGAACTGGTTGATTTTAGTCACAAATTAGAGGAACATATGAAGACTAAACTAATTGAAATGAATGGAAATACACAGGAAACCAATAGTAATGAAAAGGAAACTGGGACTCAAATCAATGGAGTGGACCAGAAGGAAGGAAAAAATGACCAAACAGAAAAATATGAAGAAACAAGAATTCAAAAAAATGAGGAGAGGCTTAGGAACCTTCAGGACATCTTTAAACGTTCCAACATCAGAATTATAGGGGTACCAGAAGGGGAAGAGGAACAGCCATGAGTGGAAAACTTGCTTGAACAAATAATAAAGGAGAACTTCCCCAGTCTGGCAAAGGAAATAGACTTCCAGGAAATCCAGGAAGCTCAGAGTCCCACAGAAGTTGGACCCAAGAAGAAACACACCAAGGCACATCATCATTATATTAGCCAAGATTAAATGAAGGAGAGAATTCTAGAAGCAGCAAGAGATAAGGGGACAATCACCTATAAAGGAGTTCCCATCAGACAGTCAGCTGATTTCTCAAAAGTGACCTTACAGGCAAGAAGGGGCTGGAAAGAAGTATTCCAAGTCATGAAATCCAAAGACCTGCATCCAAGATTGAGCCATCCAGCAAAGCTTTCATTTAGAATGGAAGGGCAGATAAAGTGCTTCTCAGAGAAGATCAAATTCAAGGAGTTCATCATCACTAATTCCTATTATATGAAATGTTAAAGAGACTTACCTAAGAAAAAGAAGATGAAAAATATGAACAGTGAAAGGACAGCATACTCACAGTTACTAAGAACCACAACGAAAACAAAAGCAAACTAAGAGGACAGCTAGATCAGGAGCAGAACCATAGAAATGAAGATCACATGGAGGGTTAGCAACAGGGGAGTGGGAGAAGGAGAAGAAGGGAGAAGGTACAGAAAATAAGTAGCATAGATGGCAGGTAGAAAATAACAGGAGGGAGGGCAAGAATAGTATGGGAAATATAGAATCTAAAGAACTTGAGACACGTGGTCATAAACTAAAGGGGGGGAATGGTGAAGGAGGGGTGTGCAGGGTGGAGGGGAATGAAGGGGGGAAATAGAACAACTGTAATGGCATAATTAATAAAATATGTTAAAAATTAAATTTACTGGGGCAACAATGGTTAATACAATTATATGGGTTTCAAGTGTATTCTATTGATGCATCGTCTGTATATCACATTGGGTGCCCGCCACCGGGAGTCAAATCTTCCATTATCATGTATTTGACCCCTTTTATCCCTTACTATCCTTCTGCTCTATTCCCTCTGATTACCGTCATACTGTTTTCTGTGTCTAGGAGGTTTTGATTTTCTTGTTTGTTCATTTGTTGCTTTCAGTTTTATATCTCATAGTGAAGTCATATGGTTAATTTTTTTCTGATATTTTGCTTACTATGATATTCTCAAGATCCATCCATGTTGTCGCAAATGGCAATATTCAATTTTTTTTATGGCTGAGTAGTAGTCCATTGTATATGTACCATATCTTTATCCAATCATCTAGTGTATAGTTTTAATTTCAGAAAGTATTAATGTTCGTTTTTTCAAGCAGCTGGGTGTGTCTGATACAAATCGCATAATGAACGTGTTAGCTCTTCCAGGTTCGTGAATCAACAGCAAGTCAGATTTGCAGGACGACAGTTGGGAAGGAGCGGCTGAGATGGGTAACTTTAGAGGAGTAACAGGCCACCCGGTGGGGCAGGCGTTGGGGAAGGGGGCGGGATTGACCTCAGGCGTGGGCTGATTAGAGGGCTGCACACCTGCGGGCTGCAACGCCCCAACCGCTGAGGCCTCGCGAGAACGCGCTCTGGGGCGTGCGTACGGGAGGAGGCCCTGGGGCTCCGCGCGACCCCTGCGGTCCGGTGGGACGCCTTCCTAGCCAACCAACGGCTGTACGCTCAGCAGTGGCCCGGAGCCGAGGACACCAGCATGTTCCCCGTAATGTTATTCTTTGCTGGTCTCTGTGGATTGCTCACGTCCACACCCGGTAAGTCAATGGGAGACCCAGTTATTCTGGTCTGGGGCGGAGGAAGAGTTTTCTTTCAACTCACACCAGCTTCCGTCCAAGTCAGACTGGGGCCTAACCCCATTAAAAAGTCGGGGGCTTTACCTGCTTTTTGGTTTTGTTTGCCCCGTCACCCAGGCTGTGTTTGGACATCTGGCCTTCGAAGTGACGGAGAGAAGATATCAATAAGCTCAAGGACAAATCCTTTCCTCTCTGAATTTGGGTTTGGCCTTTCTTGCAGGCTTGTCATGCACGTCATCAAACTGCCTCAAAATTACTTGCACTCCAAAGCACCCAAAAAACTTTTCGAACTCCACTCAAACTCAAAAAAACCCCGACTTTCCTCAGCTGTCATTTGTCTCAACACTTATCTTGCATACAGTGTTAATTTGTTCTGCAATACAAGATAATATTTGAAGCAACAAATGAGTTTGATTATTGTGAGTCAAATTTTGGTTCAGAAGTGGGGCACTTCCATGAAAAAGGCAGGTGGAATTTAGTTTCCACCGTTCCCCACGTTGTTTCCTTCAGGGCAGGCACATCTTTCCAATATCCAGTTCCATTATAGTTCTTGTTACCCTTCCATAGGGACATGTTAGAGAGGTTACATTGTAGTCATGCAGACTCCACCACCGCATGAACTCAGTTTATTTAAGTGTATTTTACTGATTATGCTATTACAGTTGTCCCGTTTTTTTTTCCCCTTTCTCTCCCTCCTCCCTGCACCCTCTATCTCCAGTATTTCCCACAGCCCCACCTTAGTTCATGTCCATGGGTTGTACATATAAGTTCTTTGGCTTCTCCATTTCCTATACTATTCTTGACCTCCCCCTGTCTATTTTGTACCTACCAATCATGCTTCTTATTCCCTGTTTATTTTTCCCCCATTCTCCCTCCTCTCTCTCCCCACTGATAATCCTCCATGTGATCTCCATTTCGGTGACTCTGTTCCTGTTCTAGTTGTTCGCTTAGTTTTAGTTTTTCAGTTTCAGTGGTTGATAGTTGTGAGTTTGTTTTCATTTTACTATTTATAATTTTTGATCTTCTGTTTCTTAGATGAGTCCTTTTAACATTTCATATAATAATGGCCTGTTGATGATGAACTCCTTTAACTTGACCTTATCTGGGAAGCACTTTATCTGCCCTTTCATTCTAAATGATAGCTTTGCTGGAATAGAGTAATCTTGGGTGTAGGTCCTTGCCTTTCATGACTTGGGATACTTCTTTCCAGCTCCTTCTTGCCTGTAATGTTTCTTTTGAGAAATCAGCTAATAGCCTTATGGGAACTCCTCTGTAGGCAACTCTCTCCTTTTCTCCTGCTGCGTTTAAGATGGTCTCTTTATTTTTAATCTTGGGTAACTTAATGATGATGTGCCTTGGTGTGATCCTCTTTGAGTCCAATTTCTTTGGGACTCTCTGGAATTCCTGGACTTCCTGGACTTCTATTTTCTTCACCAGACTGGGGGGAAGTTTTCCTTTATTATTTTTTCAAATAAGTTTTCAATATCTTGCTTTTCCTCTTCTCCTTCTGGCACCCCTACGATTCAGATGTTGGTATGTTTAAAGTTGTCCCAGAGGTTTCTAACCCTGTCATTTTTTTTGCATTCTTGTTTCTTCATTCTGTGCATGAACTCACTTTTGAATCATACAAGAGCATATAGCTATAGGCATCTAATGGAAGTTAACTTAATGTTTTACCAGGAACATTCATATTTTCAAAACATAAGGAAAGGTTACTAGTCAATGTCTAAATCTGAGTAAGGGTTATATACCTTTATGAGCAAGAAGGTCCCAGTGGAAGGTAATTATCTCTGGGGCATGTTTTCCAGAGGGAAGGCAGTGTGTGTTTCATAGAAGCAAAAGCAGAACTGTACCAGTCAAGTTTTTTCATCCCTTTGGGGATAGAGATCAGGCCACCAACCCAGGAACCTCAAGAGCATGCTTTGCTGTGGTACAGACCCAAAAGCCCGTGAGATTTTCAGGTTCAGAAAGCTTCTGTAGGGTAGGAACAAAAGGGTGTAATAAATTGTAATTTTTAGCATGTAGATTACAAAAACAGGCCAAATCAAGAGCTTTTAAAATTATTAACAGGAGCCATTGTAAGAACTCAAGAAAGGTAGCTGGTATACTAGCTAACATGTGAGTTCTAAGTGAAATAAAAGTTGATGAGCTAGAGATTATAAGAATAGCATGTAAGAATATAAGAATAGTAGTTTTCTTATAACTTACCACTATAACTTATAGTGGTAAGACCCGAATGACAAGGTCTTACCACTGTAAGTTACATATTGTCATGCACTTTCAGCACATAGAAAAGTGGATAAAAGATTCTTTTGGCAAATTGTGCAGAGGAAAAAGCATGAGGTTGTATTGGCCTGGTCCAGAAGCTTAGGAAAGCTGTCTATTCAGATGGTGTCTGCTGCTTCTGCTCCTTGGAAATGTTGAGCTTTAGGCCTGCACCAGGGGCAGATTGTCATGTAGGTGTTGGACCTTTCTTCAAATGAGGAGCATGAGTCCAGGAATCAATGCCTCTAAATTTGGCTGGTGAGGTCCCTTGGCCTGGGTTGTAGAGCATCCTTGTGGAGATGGCTTTTCCAATGGACAAAAGCTCAAGGATGTCAGTTGTGGAGCAGGTCTTCATCTCCTGGGAGTGTGCTCTGAAAATACTGCTGGACTAGTTGGCTGCTTTTCTTTAAAGCCTCAATTAATCCCTGGCACTAAGACAATATACGAGGTCTGTCCAGAAGTATCCAGCCATGTAATATGAAAAATAGGAAGATGTACTGAAGAACGTACAAGATACAGGAAACATTGTACATAGGATAATGATACCTCAGTCCCCTTCAAAGTAGGCACCCTGGGAACTCACACAGTTCTCCCAATTGCCATCAGCTACTCCATTGTATTTTTCCTGAATCTCATCAATGATCTGAAATCTCTTCCCTTTCAAAAGTTTTGGGAAAAGCCAGAAGTTGCAGGGAGCCAAATCTGTGCTGTAGTGGGGCTGAGTCACTTGGGTGACTTGATGTTTCACTAAAAACTCTGCATGAGACATAATCTATGAGCAGGGACATTGTCATGATGAAGCTGCCAATCACCATTTTTCTATAGCTGTGGCCTTCTGAATCATCCAAATAGTTTCCACAGAGGAATGCCCGGGCTTAATTCAAAATTCGATGCAAATTCATTGGTCTCCTTGCTCAGTTATTTTCTCTCAGTTATTTTGAGTGTGACAGCCACACAGTACACATGCTCACTCAATGGCGTCCACCACCCCCACTGACTAGTACACTGAAGTCATTATTGGCCATGCATGCTCATTTCAGTCCCCTCTCCTTGGCTGCTAGGTTACATCAGTTTTGTGCAAACTGTTCTCATTGTGTTATCAACAAAAAAGTTCACCAGTTTGATTTCTGGTCAGGGCATAGGCCTAGGTCGCGTATTCTGTCCCAGTTGGGGCAATTACAAGAGGCAAACGATTGATGTTTCTCTCTCATATTATGTTTCTCTTTCTTTTTTTATCCTCTTCCCCCTCTCTAAAAAATATCAATAAGCATGTTTTTGTGTGAGGGTTAAAAATAAAAGGAGCCGGAGTGGGACACTGACACCTAGAGAGATGTACCATATTGGGTGTTAGTGGGCATGCCAGCTTCTTGTTGTCTGGTGAGGACAGAGCTGTGAAGACAGATCTCAGAAGGTGCCGCCATGTCCAATTCTGGACTTGGGCTCACAAAGGCAGATGCAGTGAATTGTGTTTTTTTTTCCTTTTAACCTTCCTTAAACATTTTGTTTTTTGATGCTTTGCTCTATTATTATAGACCTGTTCTTCCTACCCCCATTTTTCTCTTTAAATTATGGGTTTCTATTCTTACATTAACAACTGATGACCCCATCAGAGCATCAAAATATTCCCCAAAGGAGTTAAAATTTTTATCCAAACATAAAACAGGGTGTGTGGCCCTGTACAATATAAAGGATAGATAGAAGGGATTCCCTAAATCCCTATCTGTTCAGGCCTTGCCTGTGAGAATGGGGACAGGGAAGAGGAGAAGTCTATGTGTATCACTGAACTTGAGAACTCTTGGGGCTCCCAGGGTGATTTCTGTCTCCTATCTTTCCTCTACTTCCCAGACAGCTGCTCATAGAGCTTGGGCACAGTCACTCAATTCTGTTGCATTACATGTGCCAGCCACCGGCGACACTGGCTCTGACCTTTTGAGGAATGATAACACCTTGAATTTTCCATGGTGGTCTCCAGATTTGTTGCTGAGAATGAGTTCTTCACACTTCAGCAGCTTGTCCTACTGATAAACCAGTCAGACATAGAGGTGAAGGCATGTGCCCTTGGGAAGCCCAGAGCCCATGTAATCGGGCCACCAGAAAATGGTGCCATTTTCTATATTTGGGGTCCTGCTGGGAGCATCTGGGTCTGTCAAGATCAAGGTGCAAGGGTTTACCTGGATCAAGGCTGTCCCATGCAATACTAGTGGGCTGGTTTTTATCCTGGGTAGGTCTCAGCACTTTGCCTGGCTCGTCAACCTCTGCCCCAGCGTATTTGACCTTCAGTGGGTGCTGTGGTGTCTTGCTCACTTCCTGCAGGCTGAAGGGCCTGGACCACTGAGGTCCATGGGCATTCCAGAGCCCAGCAGGTGGGTGGACAGCTGGGATAGCTGCAGGAGACTAGGTGCAGGTCACCAGTATCAACTTGGAACAGTATTTGGTGATCCACTTTGAGTTAATTTTTGTATATGGTGTCAGGTGGGGTTTCACTTTTTAAAATTCATTTTGATTTCTTTTTATTAACTGTGGCCTGCCATTATTTATTCCTAATAATACTTTCAGCTGTTAAATTCTATCTGTGCTAATGTTAACATTACTACATCAGCTCCTCTTTGATTAATATTTGTTGTGAACATACTTCCCCATTTTATGTGACAAAGCCTATTAGTATCTGTTTTTGCCTACATTGCTTGGCCTTTTTCCATTAAGCTGGGTCGATTAGCTCTTGCTCATGGGGTTGAGAAGAAGAAATGTGTCAATTTTGGATCAAGGCAATTGAGTGTATGTATCCCTCTTCCATCTTTTCTGATGCACAGTGACCTTAGAAGCCAGTAGTGCCTGATTATGTCAATCTTTGAAGAGGAGCTCAGGTTGCAAGATCCTGTAGTATCACATGGCCTGAAGTTTAGCCTCTATCAGAGCCCAGCTGTGAGCTAGAAACTTGCATAAAATAAATAGAGTTAGATGGTTATATTAATATCTTGTGGCTACCATGAAAAAGTATACCACTAACTACAGAAATTATTCCTTTGCAGTTCTGGAGGCCAGCAATCCAAAATCAAGATACTGATTCCTTTTGGAAACTGACTTTCATTCCTCTTTCCTAGATTCTGAGGACTGCCAGAAATCCTTAGTATTTCTTGTAGACATATTAGTCTAGTGTTTGTGTGTCTTCATATGGCTGTCTCCTCTGTTCTTCTCCCCTTCTCTTACTTAGAGGACACATGTCATTGGATTTAGGGTCCACCCTAATCTGGAATGGTCTCACCTCAAATCCTTAGCTAATAACACCTTTCAAAGATTCTTTTTTCCAAATAAGGTTGCATCCACAGGTTCTGAGTGGACATATCTTTTGCTGGGGTGAGGGGAATCATCAGTCAAACCACTGTATATGCCACTGAGGACATGTCTTTGCTTCAGAACCTCAGGGGCTTTTACTGACATTCTCCTAGTGGGGCTTAACACAGGCTCTACTCAGATTTACATCTGCCGCAGATCCTTAGTGCACTATGGTTTCTCCTTGCCTTAAATGAGAAACATAACAGCTGCTTGCACAGAAGCCTCAGTCAGCTGAGTTTTCTTTTACTTTGGCATCTCACAAAGCTGGCAGCCTATGATTTTTCAGTAAAACGGTCAAAGCACCACAGCCATATGTTATGTATGTTGCCTCCAAAATCCAAATGCCTCTTGCCATTTACTATAGAGGTTATTTTCTAGTGTCTCTAGACTACTAGGCCAGTATAAGTGGATTTTTCTTGTGCATAGAGTAGTTAATCAAGACTTTGGCACACCTGCTTCTTGCCAAGGCATCTCATGCACTTGCGAATTCAGGTCTTGTAGGCATGATGTTATGAATGTAGTCTCCAGAGTGATTTCCTCTTAGATGTTATATTAGTTTCCTATTGTTGCTGTAACATTTATTGTCTTACAGTTCTGTAAAATGGGTCTCACTGGGCTAAAATCGAGGGGTTGGCATTGCTCTCTTCCTTCTGGAGGCTGTGGTAGACAATCTGTTTCTTTGCCCTTTCCAAATTTTAATGGCTGTTTGCATTCCTTGTCTTGTGTTCCCTTCCCTCCATCTTTAAAGCCAAGAGCATTGGGCTGAGTTCTTTTCATACTACTGTCTCTCTGGTTCTCTCTTCTGCTTCTCCCCTTCTACTTTTAAGGTTCCTTGTGCTTAAATTATGACCACAATTAATCCAGGATAATCTCTGTATTTTAAGTTCAGCTGATAAACAACATTAATTCTCAATTACTATTTGTCAAGTAACCTAACATGTTCATGGGTTCTTGGGATTAGGACAAGGACATCTCTGGGAGGGTTATTCTCTCCACCACAGAGTGTGGTGCGTGTGGAGTCTCAGCAGAAGCAGAGCTAGAGATGACAAACACCTGAGGCGACATGGCTAGCGAAGGCATCATGGCGTCACTGCCAACCAAGTGACAATGCAGACTTGCTGTGGCAATTCTCTGCTTATTGGGAGAGAGAAAGCCACCTTTTCCTACCCACGGTTACATACAGGGGCCAATGCCACTGTTCATTTGCTTTCCTAGAGACCGTATTTTGAACAATATTAGTTATTTCAATCATCACCTGAAATAAATGTAAAACAACTAATCTCTATTATCTCATTTGCCCAGAGCAAACAAATAAAGTGGGGATAAAATAGGGATTACTGACTTTGTATATTTCTTTTTTAAAAAATTTAATTGAATCACTTTTTTATTGTTTTTTCCATTACCATTTATCTCCCTGCACCCTCTTCCACCTCACCCCTCCGGCCACCATCACCAGACTGCTGTCTGTGTCCATGAGTCCTCTTGCTTTTTAGCTCCATCCCTCCACCCCCACCCCAACCTGCTCCCCAGCCCCACCAGAGCTGTCAGCCTACTCTCTGTGAGTCTGTCTCTGTTTTGCTTGTTAGTTCACTTATTCATTAGATTCCATAGTGGGACTACTTTTCTGGATTCAGAAAGACTTTTGGTTTAATTTTTTTGGTGATAGTGAAAGTGATATTCAGAGTTTTCTCTCTGGCCCTTCCTACCATAGTAATTCTCACCCTGTGGGTTAGGTAGGCTAGATGGGGGTTGAACAAGTTACTGATTATTTCTAGTTCCACAGATGGTTCCGTAGCTGGGCAAATTGTGTTAGGGTTAACTTGCAGACCTACGAGTACACTCATAGATTTGAGCATTAATCACCTGACTTTTTCTGGTAAGCATTTTTTAGGTCCTCAAAAATTACTATTAGCATAGATCCAGTATTCATTATTCTATGGAAGGCTTAGTAATTGGATTTTCATTTTGTGGATCCAATCTGAGGATTTTTTCTTCTAATTGATCAGTTCATCCTACTTACATGTATTGATATGACAGATTTTTAATCTCTATGCTTCTTATTTATGTCTTACTTTATTGATCTCATGCTTCTGTTTTGGTAAAAAGTCTTGCCATAAAAATCTGTGACAATTTGTTTTTTGGATGCCTTGTGTATTCTCTCACCCCTTAATTTGGAATATTTATAATCTATTTTATATAATAGATTTAATCCTTTATTTAGGTAGTAGTAACTAGTGATTCCTCATTGTGATTAGGAAATTTAGTATTTTACTAAATACTAAAATTTTCTCCTTCTCTCCCCTTTATTACAGGACTGTGGTTTTAACTCTTCTATACCTTTATAGAAGGTTATTAAACACTAGTTATTAAACACTAGGTTTCTACTTCTACCACTCGATTTTCAGCTTTAAGTCAGATTTTTTTGCCCACAGTGCAATAAATTTGAGGAACTCAGTATGCACATATGGTACCCCTCTTCTTCTGCTATACTTTGTGACATTATTATATATATATATTTTTTATTCTGCTTATGTAATCATAGTTTATGACATTTGCATTTAATTGAATGACCACAATTTCCATAGTTGCTTTAACCTTTATTCTATATTTAAGTTTATTTAATGCTCACTATTACTAGGCCTTTTTCCTCAACTCTGTTTTTATCTTTATTGGGAGAAGTTCATCTGCCTTTCATGAAGGCATGTGTGAGCTATGTTACTTCAGTTTTTGCTTGTAGATATCTGTCTTTTGTCTCCATGTTTCAATAACAATTTTTCTGGGTAAAACATTCCTGGTTCTATACTTTTTTTCATGAAGATCTTAAAAAGGCATTGTTATTCAGTTTTTTTTAACATTGAATACTATTTTAAAAAATTCACAAGCCAGCCTGCTTTTCTCCCTGACCCCGATATGATTTTCTTTTCCTTTTCCTTTTGTGCTAACATGCCCATAGGATTATTTCTTTGTCTTAGCCAACAATTTAAGTAGAATAATCTCAGTTTTAATTAATTGTTATTGGATTTTACTATATTACAGTATACTCTCCAGCCTATTGTTTAAATCTTTTAATTCAGGAAAATTTTCTTGAGGTTTATCTATGATTATTTTTAATATTTTCTGTTTTGTTAGGGAACAGCAAATTTTGTGTAAGTTGATAGTTCCTTCCCTGTGTTTTTTATGGTGTATTATAACTGTTGTGTCTGTTTTTAAATTGTTTCAAAGATCTTTATAGGAGTATACAGTGATAACTCGTATTTGCGTAAGTGAATCTTACAAAAGACCCTGAACAAAGATTTAGTCAGGTTTAAGACACAGTTATTAACTGTATTTTATTTCTTCAGGTTCTCAGAATTCATCTGTCCAGATTATATTTCCAGAGAAAATCGAAACAAATACAAGTGATAATTCAGAACTAGAAAATGTAAGATATATTTTACAATCAATGTTATAGTATGAAATTTCTTATTTTTATCCTATAGCAGTGAAATATATCAGTCCTATTATAGTAGGGAACATAAGTTCCCAGTATTGCTTCTAATAAGGAATTTAAAGTTTTAATGGCAAAAGCAAATACGTACCTTAGAACGTTCTGTTTTGTTTAATGTTTGTCATTTCCTCATGGTGAAACTATTAAAAGTTCAAATACAGAAAATAATGTAGAAAAATTAGGGTCTTATATGAGTTATATCTAGATGGTTCATATGAAGAGAATAATTTTCTCCAAAAAGGTTAAGGAGAATCTTTTTAAAAATAAAGCCTCCTTCCTTACTCTTTACTGGAGCATGTTCGAGTTGTCAGAGAGGAGCCCTTTATTCTATTATTTTTGTTAGAAAGGGAGATACTTTATCTTATTCATCAATTTATTTAACAAACATTTCTCTGGGCTTGTGTGCACAGCTATATGCTAAGTGTCTTAGGATACAAAAATATGAAAAATGTCTTAGGAGATAAAAAAATAAATCAGACCTTACTTTTGACACTTTCTTTTTAACACTTTTATTCAGGTATAGTTTGCCCACCACAGAATTCACCACTGTGAATGAATACAACTTATTGATTCTTAGTGCACAAAGAGAATTGGGTAAATAAGACCACAATCCAGTTTCAAAACATTGCTGTTGCCTTAAAAAGTTCCTTCATGCCTCTTCGCAGTATTTCTCTGCTTCCATTCTCAGCCCTTGGCACTGCTGAGTTGTTTTCTGTTTCTGTAATTTTGGCTTTTCTGGACATTTCATATGAACAGAAACATGTAATATGTATTTATTGGGCTTTCTTCACTTAGGTTTGTCCATTTGGTAGCACTTATCAGTAGTTCATTAATTTTTATTTCTTAACAGACATTTATAGACCCTGGATTGTTTTCAGATATTGGCTATTATGAATAATTTTGTTATGAACATTTATGTGTGGATGCATATTTTGCTTTTTCTTGAGAAGATTATTAGGAGTGAAAGTGCTATGTCATATGTTAAGTTTATACTTAACATTTAAAGAAACTGCCAAACTGTTTTTCATGGTGGCTGCACAATTTACATTTCCCATCAGCCTCATATGAGGGTTGCAGTTGTGTTTTGTTTTGTTTTTACTTGTTAGCACTTGATGATGTCTCTGTCATTTTTGGTTAGTTATTCTAGTTGGTACCTAGTGTTTTTCATTGTGGCTTCAGTCTGAATCACCCTAATGAAAAGTGATGTTGTGCATCTTTCATGAGCCTCTTAGCCTTTTATATATCTTCCTGGGTAAAACGTTCACTCAAATTTTTTGCCCACTTTTAAATTGAGTTGTTTTCCTCTTTATTTCTGAATTCTAGGAATTGCTTATATAGTCTAAATACAAATCCTTTATCTGATGTATTATTTTCAGTTATTTACTTCCAATTTGTGTCTTGTTTTATTGTTTTCTCACTGGCATTTTTTGAAGCACAAACATCTTCAATTTTAATGATATCCAGTTAATCAAATTTTCTTTTTATGACTCTTGTTTTTGCTGATTGTAACTGAGAGCTCTGTTTTGGATTGGAGTGTGTTCCCTGCTCCCTGAGTTCATATTTGAAGCCCTAATCCTCAATGTGACTGTATTTTGAGATAAGGCCCTTAAGGAGGTAAGGTGAAATGAGTTCCTAAAACTGGTTCCCTAAGCTGATTGGACTTGTGCCTTTTAAGAAGAGGAAGAGATACCTGATACAGACTTCGACCATCGGGGTCCGTGTGTTGTGGCTGCAATGAACACATTCACACGGACTGAAGAAGTCCTGTGGAGAAAAAGGGATGGCATGACTGCTCTCTGAGTGAGAGAGGGCCTGGACCTCTGCCTGGGCAAGCTTTTACTGCTTTTCTGGGCACAGATGGTCCTCATTTACTATGCACAGGTTCACATTAGGTGGTTACCTTTTATAGATAACAAAGGAAAGAATGTTGCTAATTACTTCAAAGAAAAGGATGTTTGCAAATGCATGGGGAAAGTGGTTGAACTGGTTACACTCTATTCTTGGGAGGTTTAGCACAGGCTTTAGGAAGTTACTTTAAAGATATGCAGTAAACACTTGCTGCCTCAATTCAGGGTGAGGGAGTTTAGCAAAAAGCAAGCATCAAAGAAGCCTAAGTACAATGCAGGCCTGCCTGGTTTTACTATGGAAATAGTGTTCCATGGGCTCGGTTCCTGTGTGCTGACTCGCTCCTGCTGGTTTTCTGAATCAGGGGCTAGTCTACATTCGCCACTGCCATGCAGATCGGTTCCCTATAGACACCACTCCCGCTCCCCCTTTTCTCCACCTGAGCACAGGAAAAAGACCATGAGAGGACACAGTGAGAAGGCAGCTATCTGAAAGCCATGTACAGTGGTCTCACCAGAAACCCACCCTGATGGCACCTTAATCCTAGACGTGCAGCTTCCAGAACTGCGAGAAAACAACTTAATTATATTTAAGTCTTTCCATCTGTGGTATTTTGTTAAGGCAGCTCAAACCAACAAATGCAGATCTGTGAAGTAGTGTGCTGCAGTAAGAGATGCCTAGAAATGTAGAAGTAGCTTTGAAACTGGGTGATAAGTAGAGGCTAGAATAATTATGAGCATATGCTAGAAAGAGCCTAGCTAGCCTTGAAATGACTACTGGTACAAACATGAATGCAAGAGGCAGTTCTGCTGAGAACTCAGAAAGAAGAGAGAAGAGCTGTAGAAGAAGCTTCTATCATTTTAGAACAAAGACATATATATATATAATCTATCACGAAAAGAGTGTTGTTTGAAATATGTGCATTACAAGTGTTTCTGGTGAGAGCTCAGATGGGAATGAGGAACAAGTTATTGGAAACTGGAGAAAAGGTGATTGTTTTTATAAAGTGACAAAGAACTTGACTGAATAGTATTCCGGTGTTTTGTAGAAGGTGGAACTTGAACATTCATTTTCCTTCAAAAAAAGGGAGGAATGATGCAAAGGCTATTCAGAATTGACTCATCACAAGCCTTGGAAGCAAAGCTTTTTCCTCCTTGATTTCAGAAGTTGATGACCTTCTTAGTTTCACAGAGCCAGGGTGCCTCCATTCACTGTCTCAGGCAAGGCTGCTATCTGGAGCCATAGGGGTGGGAGGGGACAGGGCTACTGCTTAGGGCTGTGGGGATAATACTACTGCCCTAGTGTGCACAGAGGGTAGAGCACCAATTCCATAAATTATGGTATAATGTGTTTTTCATTTAGCTCAAAATATTGTTAAATTTTCATTGTGATTTTTTTCTTTGATCCATGAGTTGTTTAGAAGTTTGTTGTATAATTTTCATATATTTGAGAATTTCCTAGATGTTTTCTGTTGTTGATACTAATTTAATTCAGTTGCAGTAGCAAACACACTTTTATGACTTTAATTCTTTTTAATTTCTTGACCCCAAATACGGTCTCATGGAGAACATTTCCTATGCACCTGAAAAGAATGTGGATCTCGCAGTTGTTGGGTGGAGTGTTTTCTGTGTCAGTCAGGGTGCGCTAGTTAATGGTTTGGTTGGAATATCCTTCATGCTTGTTGTTTTTCCGTTGAGTTGTTCTACCTGTTATTGTGACTGGAATATTAAAATTTCTGACTATGATTATAAAATTGTCTCTTTCTATTTTCAGTTCTGTTAGTTTTTCCTTCATGTATTTTGAGGATCTGTTAAGAGTTGTGTGTACATAAAAATTTTTAATATTTTTTAATGTATTGACAAGTTTATCTTTATGAAATGTTTCCATTCTAGTAATGTTTATTGTCTTTAAGCTTATGTTATCTAATATTGATACAGCCCCTTTTTATGGTTATTATTGGCACAGCATACATATTTTTCCATTCATTTATTTTGAACCTGTTTGTATATTTGAATCTTAGATGTGTCTCATAAACAGCACATAGTTGGATATTGTTGTACATGCTGTTCTAGTCCATCTCAGTCTTTTTATCGAGGTGTTCAGATTGTTCACATTAAGGTCAGTTATTTGTATGATTGGATTTACATTCACTTTGTAATTTAAAAAATTTATTTTCTTTGTAGTTTCTGTGGTATCACAACATGCATTTTAAGTTATCATGATTTATATTAATATGAACAAATTTAATAAAATATAGAAACTGCTCCTATATAGTGGAATTCTCTGTCCTTTATGCTGTTCTTGTCATATAGGACATCTGTATTTGTATAAACCCACCTATACATTATTGTATTTATTGCTTTTTCCATTAATTAAAAAATTAAAAGAAGTAAAAACATATTCATAATTTAACAAATTAATACAGTGTTTTATATTAACTCATATATTTAACCAGTTGTGGTTCTTAAGTTACCATCTTTCGTTATTTCCTTTCAGCCTGAAGGAATTCCATTAGTATTTCCTGTGGGGCAGGTCTTGTTTCACCTTCATTTTTAAAGGATAGATTTGCTGGATATAGAATTCTTGGTTGCCAGGATTTTTTTTCTTTCAACATTAAAAGATAATAACCTTTTACTGCCTTCTGGCTTTATTATTTCAGATGATCAGTCTGCCATTAATTAAACTGATGCTTCTTTGTATATAATGAGTTGTTTTTCTCTTCATGTTCGGCTTTCAATAGATTGAACATGATGTAGCATGATGTGTATCTTCTTCTATTTTTTTTTCTGTTAGGGATTTGCCAAGGATTTGGATGTGCCTATTAATGTTTTTCATCCAATTTTGAATGTTTTGGAAAGTTTTAAAAATATTGTTTTCTGACTGCCTCTCTTTCTTCCCCTCCTGGGATGCCTGTTACACATATGCAGTGTCAAGGGGTTTTCTATGATGTGTATGCCGATACCCCGTGAGCAGTGTTCAGGAGCTCTACTCGTTCCACATTCGGGTCGAGACTAGTAGTGCGTGCATGTTTTCTCACTTTAACATTCTGCTGTTTGTGTATAACAGTGCATATAAAATATGTTTACATA